GCTTTTAATAAAATCCAGCACCTCTTCTTGATAAAAATCTTCAAACATCTAGGCATAGATGGAACATACCTCAAAGTAGAGCCATCTATGAGAAACCCACAGCCAGCATACTGTTAAACAGATAGAAATTGGAGCCATTTCCCCAAAAACTGAAACAAGACAAGGATGGTCACTCTCACCTCTCCTTTTCAATATGGTTTTGGAAGTCCTAGCTAGAGCAATCAGACAAGAGAAGGAGATCAGCGGTACCCAAATAGGAAAAGAAGAAGTCAAGTTATCCCTCTTTGCAGATGACATGATTCTATACCTTGAAAACCCAAGAGAATCTGTCAAAAACCTCCTTGCACTGATAAAGGACTTTGGTAAAGTCCCAGGTTATAAAATAAATGTGCAAAAGACAGTCGCATTTCTACACACTAACAATAAACAAAGAGAAACTCAAATTAAAAGCACAATCACATTCACAACAGCCACACAAAAAAATGAAATACCTTGGCATCTTCCTAACAAAAGACATGAAAGATCTTTACAATAAGAAATACAAAACACTGCTCAAAGAAATCAAAGATAATACAAACAAATGGAAAAAGATTCCATACTCATGGATGGGAAGAATTAACATTGTTAAGATGTCTATTCTACCCAAGGTACTCTACAGATTTAACTCAATACCATTAAATAACCAGCAGCATTCTTCTCAGACCTGGAAATGACAATACGGGAATTCACATGGAAACATAAACGACCACAAATAAGCAAAATAATCCTCAGCAAAAACTAACCAACCAAACAAACAAAAAACAAAGTGGGAGGTATCACACTCCCAGACTTTACACTTTATTATAAAGCTACAATAACCGAAACAGCCTGGCATTGGTACCAATCTGGGCTACTTGGTGAGACTTTGTCTCTACAATTAAAAAAAGTAACCAGGGCATGGTAGCACCTGCCTGTAAGCCCAGCAGGTCAAGGTTGCGGTGGCCATGAGTGTGCCACTGCACTCCAGCCTGGGCAACAGAGTGAGACTCCAACTCAAAAAAAAGAGAGAGAGATAATACAGACAAATGGGACCTCATTAAACTAACAAGCTCCTGAAAAACCTAAGAAACATCAAGAGAGCAGAGAGACAGCCCACTGACTGGGAAAAAATATTTGCCAACTGTATGTCTGACAAAAGTCTAACATCGAGATTCTACAAGGAACTCAAACATGCCAAAAAGAAAAAAAAACAGCACCATTACAAAGTGGGCAAAAGATATGAATAGATTCTCAAAAAAAAAAAGACACATGAGCAGCCAATAGAAACAGGAAAAACTGCTCAACTTCACTAGTCATCAAAGAAATGCAAATTAGATACCACCTAACTCCAGTCAGGATGGCCATCATCAATAACTCAAAAAACAATAGATGCTGGAGAGGATTCGGGGAAATGGAACACTTCATTACTGTTGGTGGGAGTGTAAACTAGTACAACCTCTGTAGAAAACAGTTTGGCATTTCCTGAAAGATCTAAAAATCAACCTTCCTTACAACCCCTCACTCCCCCTACTGGGAATATACCCAGAGGAACTCAAATCACTCTATGGAAAAGATACCTGCACATGTGTGTTTACTGCAGCATTGTTCCCAATAGCAAAAACATGGAACCAACCGTGCTGTCCATCAAAAGAGGACTGGGTCAAAAAAATGTGGTACATATACATGATGGACTATTATGCAGCCATAAAAAAGAACAAAATTATGAACTTCACAGCAACTTAGATGAACTTAGAGTGTATAATACTGAGTGATGTAGCACAGAAACAAAGAACTGAGTATCACATGTTCTCACGCATAAGTGGACCTAGAACAATTATTGTAATACTGTAAGAAAAGAATTGGCAGTAGTGGGAATCTGCCGGGGGAGGGGACACACCTCATCAATAATGGTACCTGCATGAAGAACATTTGTATACTAAACCCTGAATTGTACCCCACATCTTTAAAATAAAAAAATTAAAAATTAAATAAAATAAAAACTTGTTTCACTCTGTTTGCCATGGAGACTTTTATTATTTTGTATATAAATTTGCATTTGATAATACTTATAAACACCGCTAAGAAACTTTGAATAAATATAGCAACAATTCAAGTATTTGTTGGTAGATGCTATGATAGCTCTGTAATATGTGAACATGACTGATCTTTCTTTCGGGTCATATCATGAATCATTCTGAGATTAATTAAAATGAAATAGCCCACAATCAAATAACATAGCCATTTAGAGAACTGAAGAAAAGAATATGGCTTAATAGCCTCCAAACAGGAAATGTGGTAATAGAATTGAATAGTGATAAAAAGGACAGTAGTCACTGTTAAGGGCAACCAGACTCAATATGCTGTAGAGTGTAATCACAAGATGCATACATTTAATTTATGCAAATTCCAACTATACATAAAAAGCAAAACCCATGGATTCCTGAATTTCCCCATCATCCCTTTTTACTCCCACCTCTTTCTTTAACTGGGCCTCAGTTTAGAAAACAGAAGATCAATGTAGCAAAGAAAAAATTTTAAAAAATGAATTCTGGACTTTAGTAGGGACTTTGTCCTGAATTCTGAGGGACATCTTTATTAGTCTTCAGAAGTTGTACCATATTCAACTTGTGCTCTTAAAATACTCAGGTTTTGGTGATTTGAGGGGTAATTTAAAGGATTTTCTTTTTTAAATTTTTTAAAAATGTATTTATTTATTTGAGTCAGGGTCTTACTCTGTCATCCAGGCCCAAACTGGAGTGCAGGCACCATCATGACTCGCTGCAGCCTTGACCTCCTCTGCTCAAGCGATCCTCCTGTCTCAGTCTCTCTAGCAGTGGGACGACAGGTGTGCGCCATTGCACGTAGCTAATTTTTTTTTATTTTTACTTTTTGTATTTTTTGTATACACAGGGTCTTGCTATGTTGCCCAGGCTTGAACTCTTGGGCTCAAGCTGTCCTCCTGCCTTGGCCTCCCAAAATGCTGGGATTACAAACTTGAGCCACTGCACCTGGTCAATAAAAGACTTTTAAAGTGTAATTTTGATTGTTAAGGACTTACAATTTTCACCTTAAGCATTAATCTTAGAACCTAATTCCCTCTCCCATATATTTTTAGTAGAATAACACCAGGGTTATATTGCATACATATGCCTTTCTGCTTCACAGTGGAGGAATTCTTATTTCATGTGGTTTAATCATGTGTGCTCATATATTGTCAGTTTCTAGTTCATGCTGAAATAGTTTAAATGTGAACAGTAAAAGCATTATAATGAACTATTCCAAATGTGAATGTCAAAAACTATGGCTCTAGGTAAGTCTCTATGGTTGCTTTCATTCTTTAACTTTATATACATTTAAAAACAAGTAAATGAAAGTTGGACTAACTTCAATATTCTGATCAAAATTTCAGCGATTCACTTCTAATAAAAAAATTTTCCCAACTTAGAATATACTGACTTGGTTCAAACACTAAACATTTCTTTTTTAAAGATTGTTACTGCTTTACTAGTTAGTATAAACTCCAGATCTAAGAATTCTTAAAATGATATATTTGTTTCCCTAGAGGTCTAGTAACACATTTATTACTCTAAAAGCACTTTTACTACCAAGTATTTTTTTAAATGTGAAATATTTTTAATGTTAATTTATTATGTACTTCTGTAAAAAATAGTTTATTGTCAGAATGACTTAAATACACAATTCTGATTTGTTTTTACTATAATTTCTAAGGTTCATTCCATTTTCATTCCCTCTGACTTTTGCAATTACATGGACTTGTTTCACATAAATAACATATAAATATATGTATGTATGCACACATATATACCCTAGCCTTTCCAAAATAATACCTTTATATTATTTCTATAATACCTTTATATAATATTTATAGTAAAACAAAAAATACACTCAACTGGAATGCCCTTTACATTACATCTTAGTAGCAAAAATAAAGACAGCTATATCATTGCCTTTACGATCTATTAGTGCTGGATTCCTTTTTCTTGTTAACTCAACCTAACATTGATTTTTGCATTGTTTTGTGCCTTATTAATAATATCTGTGCTTTGGGCTACATTACCCGATGCTTGTATGTGTGTAAATCTTATTCATGCAACTGAACTCTATAACAGCAGTTATTACTTTTTTAACAAAAAATAATTTTTTGCTGAATCTGTGGAAAAAAAAATAAATGAAGCCTTGGTCAATGAATTCACCCTAAAAAGAACTATCACAGCAAATGTGGAAAAGGTAAAAGGACGCGGATTCGGGGCAGGTCAGAAGGGGTAAGAGTAAGCAGTCAGTAGCTAAATACTCTCCTTGTGGGGAGAGGGGTTGTGCTTTTCCTCAAGTTCCTTTTTTTTTTTTTTTGAGTTGGAGTCTCACTCTGTCGCCCAGACTGGAGTGCAGTGGCCGCTCCCGGCCACCGCAGCCTCGACCCGCTGGGCTCCGGCGGTCCTTCCGCCTCAGCCTTCCCAGTAGCTGGAACTACAGGCGCGTGCTACCACGCCAGGCTGATTTTTGATTTATTGTAGAGATGAGGTCTCGCCAAGTTGCCCAGGTGGGTCTCGAACCCGCGGGCTCGGGCAATTCACTCACCTCAGCCTCCCAAAGGCACGGGATTACAGGCTGAGCCACTGAGCCCGGCATTCCTCAAGTTTCAAAACACAATTTTATGCCAGAGAAAAAGTCAATAAGAGGATGGCAAGATGTGAGTTCTCTCAAGACCTGTCAGTAGAAGACCCAGGAGTGGCAAAAAGCAGAAAAAGGCAAAAGAAACTGACAAGTGTTTCACCAGTTAACAGTGACCGATTAGATGAATAAAAAATGTTTAAAGTGACTGGTTTAAATAAAATGGAATATCAGAAATTTTTTAAAGTGGAGGATAAAAACATTAGATGTAAGAATATTGTAAAAAGGAAATTAGGTAATTCTTGCTGCATGTGCTTTTAAAACTTTTCCATGTTTGTTTGTTTTCCCTGTAGAATGCCAGAGTCCCCCAGTGAGGTTCCCGAATACCCTTTGTTTGTCACAGTTGGTGACTGGCTGGATTCCATAAAGATGGGGCAATACAAGAATAACTTCATGGCAGCAGGGTTTACAACGTTTGACCTGATTTCAAGAATGAGCATTGAGTAAGTGGTACTGGGGTTATTACTAGAGTTACATGCTCCGCTTGGGATTATAAATTCAAATGCTGAACAAGAACACTTTTCCTTAGGCTAGTATGTAATTTCCAATCTTCCTTCACCATTTCTAGTAGTAGTTGGACATCACACTTTTAACTATTACTCTTTGAAAGGATATATTTAATTCAAGTAGCTATTTAAAATATTTTAAATACTTTCTGAAATGCATATTACCCTTCTCCACATTATAAGCTTTATATATTTTACCCTGGCAAATTATTTAATATTCATATATACTAATATTGCATAATCAATACCTATTACTATTCTGTATATTGTAATGCTTTTTCACTGTCTCAAAGATTATCCTTTGCCTAGGTGCAATAAAATGCTCACCATGTGCTTGAAAGACTAGATATTAGTGATTACACTGAGCCATATAACATTGCCATTGTCTTAAGATAGTTATGGTAATTTCTTACTATCCAACTAAATGGCTTTTTTTTCAGAATATTCAAAGACCATGAGAAATCAAATGGAGTTCACAGCATACCTTATATCCTTCGTACTTACCATTTTGCTAATACTGTTGCAAATGTATATAATTACCTACATTATACAGTCTTTAGGCCTATGAAATGTTTGCAAATTACATAGGCACCTAGATATGAAATATTTCCTTGTATCAATAAGTTTGAGATTAATGTTATATATTCTGTAGAGCCAGAGAGAAAGAAAAAGAAATAAATTCTTGCTGTTCATTTATATCTCTGCTTAAAAATTAAGCTACACATTTTTTGGCAAATATGATACGGTACATATTTAATATATCTAAATGTTCATCTCACATTTACCAGATATCTCTCTCTCCCTTTCTCTCTCTGTTGCTCAGTGACATCAGAAGAATTGGAGTCATACTCATTGGACACCAGAGACGAATAGTCAGCAGTATACAGACTTTACGTTTACACATGATGCACATACAGGAGAAGGGATTTCATGTATGAAAATTCTACAAGCACCTGTGTTTTGTGCCTCAGCATTTCTAAGATGAAAGCTATCCTCTCTACTACCCTCTCTTCTAATTCTCCAGACATCACTTCACAAACTGCAGTCTTCTGTTCGTATGATAGGCACACACCTTATGTTTATGCTTCCAACCTGGATTTTAAAATCATGCTACATAAATCCTCTATGAATAACCTGCAGATAAGACCCTGACCCACTGCAGATTAGACCCTGACCCACTGCAGATTATTGCTACACAATGGTAAATAACTCAGCATGGATATGTAATTTTATATAAGCATTATATGGGAAGTGTTCACAGACTTAACCTAAAGGATTTGATCCAGGTGTGGTTTACTTAATGATGTAGAGAGTGGTGTTAGATGAGAAAGAAATAGTTGATTTCTTCATGTTTTGTGATCAAGTAGCTTCCAAACTGATATCCATGTTTGGTTCTTAGATAATTTTATTTGACTTTACAAGTTGTATTGTTACTTTATTTTTTAATAGCTTAATTGTTGCTGCCTGATATTGTTGGAATTATTTGCAGAAATGACCAGTGCTATCATGTAGTGAATTGTTGTTGGGTGTGACTGTGGTGAGAAGGGGGTTATTAGGGAGGGAGAGGGATAAAAATACTGTGCTTTTAAATCTTCTGATGCTGGGCTTATCAATTTTTAAAAATTAACTTTTTGGTATCGTACATATTTCATAATGCGTGGTAGTTTGGATGCTTTTCCCCTCTAATTTTTTTTTTACTAACTACAGTATACATCTCTACTATGTTATGAAAAGCACCGCTGGAAAGACCAAGAGTGAGTTCATTGACCTAATAGCTTTCACAGAGGGAAGCTCAGGATGAACCCATGACTGTTCCCTTGGTTCTTCTTCATGAGTTTGCAAAAATAATTATCAAAGTACTGAGAATACTCGTCATCCTCAGTAGAATTGCTTTGAATAAAATATATAAGATTATAGCCCTAGATGTAATATAAAATAATTAACTAATTTAATTTAAACAGAATTTTATGATAGCTGTATGGTGGCCCAAGAACATAAACACATCTAGCTGTCTGTCTGGGTAGTGGTACATTTTACAAGTCTAAGAATTCTTATGTTTTGTTTGTAAAAATAAGTTACATAAACCTGCTGAGCTGTTTTCCAAACCTGAGATACTCCAAAGAAAATATATAAACAGATCTTGCACATGAGTATATATATATATATATTTATATATATATATATTACTCATGTGTGTGCCAACCTGGGTCCATAATATGGTTACATATGGTTACATAAAAATATGAACATAGCTAAGGTGTGTTGTTGTCCCAATCTTCTGAGAGACTGAACAAAAAGCAAATATTTTTTAGTGAATTAAACTGAGTCAGTTTATCAAAATAGTGCTATCTTATTAACAAATTCAATTATAAAATCAGCTGCTCCCTGTAAAATTAAAAAAAAAAGACTACTGTATTTTGTGCAAGAGTAAGAAGAATGTTCTGAGGAAAAAAAAAAAACAACAACCACCAGAGCAGTTTGTCTAAAGATGCTGATTTAATAATCAGCTTTCACTAAATCTCAGAGATGCTCAGTTTCCTACCTAAATTACATCTTTTGGGGAGTGTAGTGTTCTTTCTATTAAAGGAACCTCATTTTTTCTTTTTTCTTTTTAGATTTTGTTGATTGTTCCACTATACTAGACCCTTTCACATCTTTTCTTTTGCTAATTTATCTTCTGGTTTTCACTTAGTTTTTTTTCTTCTGGTTTCTTTCTGGTTTTTGCTTACATTTTAGTTTAATTTTTCATTTTTTAAAAAATGTATGGAACTAAAAGAAAGAGTCTTTAGAGTATTTCTTAAAGTATACTAAAAAAGGGAAAAGTAGGAAATACATCACTTTTTAAGTAAGTGTTTCAGAAATAGCAATATTGTCCAGCCATCAACCTGCATGGTCATGCATCACTCATAGGCTATCTGCAGTTTGCTTGATACATTTACACAAATCCGGATACATTTAGAGGAAATATAAAATGTCTGTATTTACCTATCTTCAAATATATATTAAATAAGAACAGATGTAAAACAGATTAAATTTATTAATCATATATATTTATTTTTATAATACAAAAAAAGGTATTTAGGACACTAAGGAGTAGAATAATACAATCCTCCAGAGGACTCTGTCAGCAACATCTGTATACCTTGGTGAAATAAATTATATTAAAGTATTTAAACTTCTATGAGATGGACGTTCAGTAATTAAATTTCTCTGTTAAGAATTTTATCCTTTAAAAAAGTCTGATGATTCTATTCTACACCTGGCTAATTTATATTTCTTTTTCTTTTCTTCTCTAATATCTTTTTATAGTATTATAAAACTACCTTTTCATTTTGTCTCTCACCACATATCACCTTCAAAATTCCTTTAAAATTATATCTCTGTTTTTCAGAACTGTAAACATGATCATCTCCAGTGTAATTTTGAACCTCATCATGGTCACAGCAAGGCTGAAATATGTGTGCAAGATTAAACAGAAACATTAAAATGTAAGGACATCTATTTCTTTACTGCCTACCAATCATGGACCCTATGATCCCAGGGGTATTAAAATAGTCAGGAATACTAACACTTAAAATGCCAAAGTAAGCCGGGCTAGGTGGCTCAGCCTGTAATCCCGCGCTTTGGGAGCCTGAGGTGAGTGGATTGCCAGAGCCCACGGGTTCGAGACCCGCCTGGGCAACTTGGTGATACTTCATCTCTACAATAAATCAAAAAATTAGCCGGGTGTAGTAGCGCGCACCTGTAGTTCCAGCAACTTGGAAGGCTGAGGCGGAAGGATTGCTGGAGCCCAGCAGGTCGAGGCTGCGGTGGTCGAGAGTGGCCACTGCATTCCAGTCTGGGCGACGGAGTGAGATTCCAACTCAAAAAATAAAATATAAAAATAAATAAATAAAATAAAATGTCAAAATAATCTGGAAATTTTTCATGAAACATTTTGAGACTCACTGGTGCACATATTCAGCAGTTAAATCATTTAATATGTAAACACATCAATCTTAATTATAAAAAGAAAGTTCCATAAATCACAAGTCTTTAGGAATAATCTTTGATAACTAAAATATGTATATACCTACTTTATTTTAAATTTCTTAATTTAGATTGCTGGTTTTTTTTTTTTTTCCTGTATTTTCAAACCAGACAGCCAAATAAATTATTTTCATTTTATTTTCTAGATGGTCAATTTTCAGTTGTATTGAACTCATTATTTGATAGTATAAGGCATATTTGGGGAAAAATGTAAAAACAATGAACAATTACAGAGAAAGATGAGGTATATACATCATTACACTAAAAAAGCAATCAGAAGTTGCAAAATTCTTGACTTAACAAGAATCAGAAATCACAGCACTTTTGCACTGAGTTATCTTGTAACTATCGATAAATGTTGTGCATGCCATAATCAAAAAAGACATCTTATTTCATTGTGCATTACTCTTTAAAATCTATCCAACTGTAACCTAAATAAAGCTGCCTTCCAGTTACAGCTTTAAGGCCTATCTCAGCCCATGAGCGGAAAACAAATCCAAATTCAATCCTTGAAAAGGAAAATCTTTAAAGAAGGTCTTCAGAAGAAATGGTGACGAATGAATTACATTACATATCACCCAAACACATTACTTAAAAATCTGTTTTGATGTCCTTTCCTACCAAATTTCTGTTCTGCAGGGCTGTCAGTTAAGTCTCTCATCTCAAACATTTCACCAATACTAGGTTTTTCTTTTTCTATTTCTTTAGTTTTCGAAAACTTTCTTTCTCGGCCTCCACTGTTTGTCTCTCTTTGTTTTTTGTTTGTTTGTTTGGAGTTGGAGTCTCACTCCGTTGCCCAGACTGGAGTGCAGTGGCCGCTCCTGGCCACCGCAGCCTCGACCTGCTGGGCTCGGCGATCCTTCTGCCTCAGCCTTCCAAGTAGCCGGAATTACAGGCATGCGCTACCACGCCCGGCTGATTTTTGATTTATTGTAGAGATGAGGTCTCGCTGCCCAGGCAGGTCTCCAACCCGCGGGCTCTGGCAATCCGCTCACCTCAGCCTCCCAAAGGCGCAGGATTACAGGCTGAGCCACCGAGCCCGGCTGTTTGTCTCTCTTTAATTCGCCCATTCTACCCCTTCTTCCTTCCCAGCTTCTATCACTCCACCCATTATCCTTATCAGCATAAGAAAGGTAGCAGCACAGCAAATCTGGAAAGATGGTACATATTTGCATACAAGAAGCTGAGGGGAGAAGTTGAAAAAACACACTCTAATATTTCGTGTCCTATCACATAAATGAAAGCATTTGCGCTCACAGAGAGAATGAGTTCTGGCTTTCCCTTACCTGAAAATTAAGTTCTTTGGAAAGTGATTTTGAAATGGATCATGAAGATCTTTCCCTAAGACTTCAGCAAAGGAAGTTTATTATTAATCTTTAAAAATTAATATTCTAAAATTCAAAAACTGTCATTATAAACTAACAGTACCCATCTTTATATTATCAGAGATTAGAAGATGTATCATTCCTTTTATTCTGAGCACCATAACTTTTCCAATATCAAATTCCATTAAGTAGAAGGACTCATATTACTTCACGTTCAATCAAGAAATATTTTAATACTTTTTTTTTTCATTTTAATACTTTTCATATGAAGGCTGCAAAAGGTAGAGGAGTAAACTGAGTAAAATTGACAGTATTCTTCCATCAGGACACCAGGCACTAAAGTCATCTAACTTTTGGTTTTTATGATCAACATTTTTAACAACTTTTCAGTCTGTATAATATTCATCAAAGGCAGTATACGATATAGTTCAGTTTAATAAATATTGATGGAGAATTTCCTATATGCATAAAATTTTACTGCAAAGATAAGTTTGGCTGTAGTGTCCTTGCCTACAAGTAACTCTCAAGTGTAACACTTAGAGGTTTATTTTCAATGGTGGCTATGGTTACCACGTCACTGGAGGTTAGATCTTTCCATCAAAAGTAAATAAATAAATAAATAAATAGGAACTTGTCCAGTGTGAATTGGATTTGCAATTCCCTAGAGAATGAAATATTTTGGACTTCACATTTTCATAGAATTCTTCCTAAACACCCCATACTCACTCTGGAAATTCTTACTGGGTTCTCTAAGACAGTTTCTCTAGGTGTTTTAAAGATTTCT